GAAATTGTTTCACATAGGCATAAATAAATTTCTAGCCCTTTCACTTCAAAATTTAGAGTTTATATTCACACTTCAATAATATATTTTTTTTAATTCCTGAAATAGATAACCTCTAAAATAAAATCCACTGTGTTTTAGTTTACTCATTATCTTTTTTTTTTTTTTAAGATTTATTTATTTATTTATTTGACAGAGAGAGATCACAAGTAGACAGAGAGGCAGGCAGAGAGAGAGGGAAGCAGAGAGCCCGATGCGGAACTCAATCCTAGGACCCTGAGATCATGACCTGAGCCGAAGGCAGTGGCTTAACCCACTGAGCCACCCAGGTGCCCCTACTCATTCTCTTTTAAATCTAAAAGCTCTAGGCACTGAATTCTACTCCTGAAATCAATATTGCACTATATGTTAATTAACTAGAATTTAAATAACAATTTTTTTGAAAATCTAAAGCTCTATCTTTGAGAAAATTACCTTCAATAATAATTCATCTAAAGCTTTCAACTGAAGAAAATGGTAAGTCATAGCCTTCACACAAAACAGTAAACATAGAAGATACACAAATGTAACATTCATACTAGTTAGTGCTATCAGTTTATTAATATGTACAGGTATGAAGTTTCCCCATATCTTCTAATACCACACGAATACTAAAAATTTAAGCTTCGCTCTTTTTTTTTTAAGTCTTATAACACTGAGAAGTCTGTTCTTAACCTTCCCTATTCAACAAATATTTATTAAATATTAAGATGTTTGTGTGATGTGTTAGGGAGAGGTAAAAGGAGAGAACTCATTGCTTAAAAAAAAAAGTAATGTGATTTTAAAATTTGCTAAGTTTCTACTCTAAAAAATTTTTCCACATATCCCTTAAAGTATGCAGCTACCTTCTGCGCTCGAACAGCTTAAATATAAATTCATTTTTCCTCACATGAATTTTATTATGATTTTACAACTATTTTAACTTACATACAATGCTATAAAGCTTTTTAGATGAGGATATCTTTTGTTCCCCCCCAAAATACAGATCAAAACAAATCATATACAAAAATCAACAACTGGGGGTGCCTGGGTGGCTCAGTGGGTTAAAGCCTCTGCCTTCGGCTAGGGTCAGTGCATCGGGCTCTCTGCTCAGCGGGGAGCCTGCTTTCCTCCTTCTCTCTCTGCCTACTTGTGATCTCTGTCTGTCAAATAAATAAATAAATAAAAAGTCTTTAAAAAAAAAAATCAACAACTGTAATACTTGTCACAATGTACTTCACAAAAGTACACAGAAAAAATTTCATAGTTTATTGATAACGTACAAGTTCTCATAATTATAAACTTATTATTTGATATCTAAGCTATGAACTGGATCTTCTAATTATTATTGTCTTTTTAATTATACTTCTTCCATGTAAGGTAGTACATAGCATTGTGGCTCTTATCTTGAAGACTATCCAAGGACAAATTATACTTACTAGAAAATGTATGGACTAAAAATATGGGGTTTTGTTGACATCAACAGTCATAATCTATGAAAATTTTTGGATACATATGTAAATTATAATATATAATAGATATAAGATACACATAACAATATATAAGAATTTATATCATTAAGATATACCAGCACAGAAGGTCACTGAATGCTCTTACCTAATTTTTTAAAATCTAAACATCCAAATAAATATTTCTGCATTTAAGAGAGAAAAACTGTTAATGCTTTTTAAAAAAGCTTTAAAAAAAACACAATTGCATTTATTTTTAACAGCATTTGTGAGATATAATAGACATAAGAAAATGTACTGAACAAAAGGAATGGAACAGCAAAAAGAATTAGTATAAAGTGAATATCTAACAGCTACAACCTAGGTTCAGTGATAGAGCATTGTCAGACCATCCGAAGACCCCGGGATACTTCCTCTTAGTCATGTTAATGATTTTTTCCCCTGAGTCAATCCAGATTTCACAAACCTACTTAAGTTTTACCAAGCACAGATCAGTTATTTAAGATATGATGAATTGCAAAAAAAAGGTCAACTTCTTAAAACTATTAGTAAATTATCATCATCCCATTCTTATACCATCTACAGACTCCTGAATAAGTATTTTTTTCCAAAGTCTATACTACTGATAATTTCCATGGATTTCTTAAACAGGTTAAAAATGCAAATACCTAAAACATCTGAACTCTATTACCTTCATAATAACTGAGAGATCAAACTGTAAGTCTTTCACACAGCTTTAAATTTACAGATGTACATGAAAAGACTAATTTACAATTTTCCCTTTTTAAAAGGAACAATACTTCTGATTCAGTACTGTTATGTAGAAGAAATGCATCCTTTGAGCATAATAGCCTGTAGTTCTCCAATTTGTTTACATCAAGCTGGGAAAGTTTCAGTTCTGATTCAAAATCTGATTGTTTTTTCTACAGAGTACTTGCTTTTCAACAAGCCCATGACTTCCTATTACCGGATTCCACGTAGAAAGTAATCAGAAGTTACCGAACGTAGTATACCTACTCTTTGCACAGGTCTTTTTGTTAGTGTCTATTTTCCTTCAAAATTTGTTTTGTGTTGTGCTGTTTTCTTCATTTTTAAAAATTTACATTTTTTATTTTGAGGTCTTTTTGTTTTCCATTTAAATCTCCTTATGAATCCTTTCCTTAAAAGAGTATTGTTATAAAAATACCCTAAACTCCTTTCCTTTCTAAACCATCAGACTTCAGTAACTTCCCAATTCTGAGGTTATAACTATGCCTTACCAACATCAAGGAAATATGTAGCATTTTTAAATTAGGACCACTGAGTAATTAAATTGAGTTTGAAGTTATAAACTGAAAAACACTATTACTATCTTCCTATATATAAATCATTTCCTCACTAGTCTCTTGGCAATACTTTCATAAAATCTATCATGTACATTAAGTCACATACTCATATTTTAAGTTTAAGAAATGAGGGATGAGTCTTAATTTCACATAATAAATGGTGATTCATGCTAAGATACAGAACTCAAAATGCTAGGAATGGAATATCCTCTTTCACACTCATTAGCATAAATTAAAGTAAGAAAAATAAAGATTACACAGCTCATGGTTCTCAAATAGCATTACTAAAGTAAGTAATTCATTCTCCTACCTTCACATCTATGAAATCCACAGTAAGAATCAGAAAACATGCTTATGTATCTTTTCTCCAGATCCCAAAACTCTCATACAAGAGCTCATTACCCCAATAAGCATGCCAACTATCATACCATGAAAGAAAAATATCTATTTAAACATGACCTGCATCACCCACAAAATCTGATTTTATTTGGAATTTGACAATTATAGTCTTTTACAAAATATATACCTCTTTAAAACTCTTCCTATCCCTCATTTGCCCCCTCAAGTTTAAAAATTCTTTCAAATCCATCCCTTACTATAAAACAACCACTTAAATTGACACTTCTCAATTTAAGATATCTTAAACAAGAATCTTAAAAGTTAACTGATCTAAACTCATAAAAATAAAGTTTGCAGACTAATAATGTCTACATTCACTTTCATGTTTTCAGTATTTCAGTACTCAAGTTGTACACTTTAATTATCTGATTATTCAACTCATTCTTTCAAAAATACGAATGCACAAAGCACTAGCTAGCCTTTTCCAAATAAGACTTTCTCAATCCACTGTCACTGTATTCTGACACAAGATAAATTTAGATAAATTTACATTTCACATTTGCAAAACAAATTGTGGTACACTGTTGTTTTAAAAAGAAACAGAAGAGTCAATGATTCTCAATAACCATAAGTAGATTACTTTATATGAAACACCACAATGCACCACTCTTTAAAAGAAAAAAATTTCAAATATATTAGTTTTACCTGGGGAAAAGAGAGCTAGATGTTTGGCATGCCTGTGTATGTGTTCAGTACTTATTTAATTCTAAAAACAACCTTTCTCCAACTCCTTTAAAAAATCAGTATTTTTTCAATAAATATGAGCATATACTGTACAATCAAATGCATAATGTGCATGTCCAGAAAGCTACAATAACCCGAATAGGAAAAAAAAAAAAATCAGTGTTTTAATTTTCCACACAGCAATTCAATGTTAAACAATGTCATTTTTCCCCCTTTCTCCCTAACCATTCCACATATCAGGTCTACTACTGTATTTATGTATTTAGTAAGATTAACAAATTGACTAGAAGATCTGGAGGAGTAAAAAAAAAAAAAAAAATCATTTTTCACTTTCCCACAAACAGAAAGATAAAACAAAAGCAAATCCGAAGACTTGTTAAATGAGAAGCATTTGAAAAACCCAACGTGACCAGCTTTTGATTTACCCTAGTCTGACAAGGAAGACAGACCCCACCCCCACTCCAGATTGTGTGGCTTTTTTTTTTTTCCTTGGGTGGGGGTGTGGAGAAGAGAGCTGTCACATTTCCATCTTCGGTTATTGTTAAGTCCGCAGCCTAGATTCCCAAGTACCACTGGTCTAAGGGGAAAAAAATTAAAGCGTATAATTCTACTTGTTTGAAATGCACAATATTTTGTTGATGTTTTTCCGATTTTAAAGTTAATTATACCCAGCTTCAATCTGTAAAGACTACAGATTGCCTTTGACAGCCTGTCCCACAAACATTCCCTGTAAGACTGCTTGCTCCAGATTCACTAAGAATTCTCTTCTCTCTAAACTTAAATTAGAAAAACGCATTTCTGAAATCATTACATCCAAAAAGGCATTCCTCCCATCCTTTTGCTTTGGTGTGGGTGTAGAATTGAGAGTAAAAAAGAGATCTATTTGCTCTTCGAACAAAAAGAAATGGGGTAGAGGGCGAGTGGGGCAAAGAGCAGCAGTGGACCTGAATGAAATGTTGAGAAAAGTTTTTTATGTGACTAGTGTGTCCTTCAGCAGGGGAACAAGAGTTGGGCAGAAAGCTGGAATCTTGGCCCCGGGCTCCTGCAGAGAGAAGGCACCTGCGGAAAAGAAGGCCAGGCACCAGAGAGGAGCCGGGCTACTACCTACCGACTTGCAGCACGTTCTCCACCGAGCCGCTGTCCAGCAGACGGATGCCCCGGCGGAACGGCAGCCCCTCGCCGCCGCCGCCCGCCGCTCCGGCCGCTGTGCCCAGCCCGGCGGACGCCCCCGCCGCGGTGGCCCCGGGGGCGGAGCCGGTCGGAGCTGCGGCCCCGGGGGGCGGCGGCGGCCCCTCCTCGGCCGGCGAAGTCCCCGCGGCGCCGCCAGCCGCTCCGGCGCCGGGGCCGCCACGGTACTGGAAACTGGAGTACATGCAGATCTCCCGCTCATTCCGCGGGAAAGACCAGTAGACGATGCGGCGCTGCACGGGCTCCGGGATCCGCTCGAAGCGCTCCTCCACCCTCTCGTACGCCCACTTTTCCGCCACCGTCTTGGCGGCGCAGTCCAGCAAGGACTCGGGCTGCAGGTGGGGGCGGGCCCCGGGGGCCAGGCAGCCGCCGCCGACGCCCCCCACCCCACCGCTGGCGGCCCCGGGCGAACCGCGAGGGTGGTGAGCCTGCGGGCTGGGCCACGAGCACAGGCGCTTAGCCGGAGAGACCGGCGACGGAGAGAGCAGCTCCTCTCGCTCACCTCCTTCCGCCATTGCTGGGAATTGACTGACTGAGGTGGCGGCGGCGGCGGCGGCAGCGGCGGCTGCACCGACTGCGGCGGAGACTCCGGCCACGGCCACGCGCCCCGCGCAAGCGCCCAACTGCGGCGCCGGGGGAGGGGCGGGGCGAGCAAATCCGCGAGCCGGCCGGCCCGAGTGGGGAACCTGGGCCGGCCCCGTGCGCGCGCCGCAAGGGCCGGCGAGGGCGTCCTGAGAACGAGCGTAAGGTGGCGCGCGCTGTCCGGGCCGCCACGGGCGCGAGAAGGGGCGGGAGCGAGCGCTGGCCGGCGGCGCGCGCCAGGCGCAGACAGCCCAGAACGCGCGCGGAGCGCTTGCGCGGGGCCGACGGCCACCTAGGGGCGAGGAGCGCGGGGCACAGTCGCCGGCCAGCGCGCCTCTAACCCACCTGCCGCCTGGCCAAAGAGGAGTGCACTGTGTGGTCAAGTGAAATGGCCAGGCCGCGAGCCCTCGGAGGAGCCGCCTCCGTGAAGTTCTAGGCTTGCCGGGCACAGGCAGAGGGAAAGTTCAAAATCAGGCTGCTATGGTAGAATTAACAAGACAGGAAACTGTCACGGCCGAGCAGAGGAGCCGGCAGAAAGATGCTAGGAAGACACTGGGAAAAAATCGGTAAGTTCGAATGATGGAAACTCTCCTCATGCCACAATAATGTAGAATAAAGTCGGCGGTCCCCTCCAGAGCCGGGCAAAGTTGCACCAGCCGGTGACTGGACAGTGGGGCGCCGAGATCTCACCGCCTAGGCGGCTGCTCCCTCCCAGGTTTTGGCGGGTTTAGCACCTTGCGTCCTAGGAAACAAAACAATTTTTTGTGTGGCTTTGGTAGAATTCTCTGGTCCTCTGCTTCCAGTCTAAATTAGGTCTCGCATGTTTCCCTCGCTGACTCGGTTTTTTTTTTATTTTTTTACACCTTTTATTACTTATAACAAATTGTACACATATTTTTATATATTTGTGTAATGTCTGACTGCCCAACTGAGTGTAAACTCCATTGAGAGCCAGGATCATTTCTATTTTCTTCACTATAATGTATCCTCAACTGGGTGCTCAAGAATGGCACCTTCACCACTAACTTCTCCATGAACAACGCTGAGTTGTAAGCAGCAAAAAAAAACTCATTTCAGAATTGCTGACAGACTAATCTCTACAACTTTAAAATGTTCCAAGAACTATATTAAGACTTCCTGTAATTGCCGCCTCCCTTTAAAATGAACGAGTTCTAGGGTATAAAGTAAGAATAAGAAGAGAGTAAATGATTGGAGACAAAGGAGCCAAAGTAGTTTGGTTTTGCTATAACCTCAGAATGAAAGAGCACAGGCTAGAGAGGCAGAATTGGCTGTCAGTCGCACTTCCTACTTATGTGATGCTAGTCATGACTCACTTAAATGATTTGTAAAGGGAGCTAGTAATAATGCCCATATTAACTTTTGTAAGAATTACAAATATTCCAAATTGAGTATTTATGTAGTACTCGTATCTATTTATATGTGTAAATGGATTTATATCTATAGATATCTTAATTGGTTGTTGTGAAATAGCATAATCTCTACTCCTCCTTAAATCTGGTACCACAATTATAGACTTCCATGGCACTTACTCTTTTCCTTCCTAGAACTTACAGTTTTTTATGGGGGAAGGACAGCGGTGAGTATATCTTTAATGCCTGACTAGAGTACATGTGTGAGACTTGCAATGGCAGAAACCATTTCTATGTAAGAAAGGGCCTATCTCTATCTCTATCTCTATCACTTGCCATAATGCTTTACATATGGAAGATCTCAAAAAGTACTTGCTTTTTGAATCAATATGTTACTCTGATTTAATCAACTGCTGGTAAAGAAGGTTAATAGAAGTTGGAACATAGGAAGAAATATTACTTAAACACTTACTTAAACAAAGTTAAGTTTGAGGGGCACCTGGAAGGAGCCGTTGGTTAAGTGTCTGACTCTTGGTTTCGGCTCAGGTCATGATCGCAGGGTGGTGCATGGGGCTCTGCTGAGCATGGAGTCTAGTAAAGTTTCCATCTCCCTTTCCTTCTGCCCCACCCCACTCTCGCTCTCTCGCTCGCTCGCTCGCTTGCTCTCTCAAATAAATAAAGAAATATTTTTAAAAGAGTTAAGTTTGATTCCTATGCATTTGATGTATGCAATTGGTGCTGGAAAGCCTTGTTCCTCTCCATGGGAGCCTCTGCAATGGGCTACTTGAATATCCTTATGACATGGTTGGTTTTCTCCAAAGCAATTAAGCAAGAGAGCAAGCTAGAAGCTGCAATGCTTTTTATGACCTAATCTCAGAAGTCACACACCATCATTTCTACCATATTCTATTCTGTCAGAACAGTTCTGACTCAATGTGGGAGAAGACGCTACAAAAGCATGAACACCAAAGAGGAAAGGATCATTGAAAGGCACGTTGTATATTAGCTACCACAACCAACTCCCACCAGCACTGAGTAAGAATACTATTTCCCTATATTCTCACTGATACGCAACACACAATATTGTCAGACTTAATTTTTAACAGCTTCATTAGCAAAAAGTGTTTTTGCTCTATTTTTTGTGGTTACTGGTGAGGTTGAGCATCATTTTACATATTTTTGGCCATAATACATCTCCTTCTGTATATTGCCTAATTAGATCATTTTCTTCTATTGGATTGTTTAATATTTTTTTGGTTTGTAGTACTCTATATGTTCTGGATAGAAATTCCTTATTATATGTATTGCAAGTATCTTCTTCCAGTATGTGTTTTGCCTTTTAAATTTATTATGTTTATTATATTTTGCTACACTGATATTTTAAATTTTGATCACATCAAATTACCTAACTTTTCTTTTAAGTTTTGCATGTATTTTAGATTATTTGAGAAAGCCTTATCTAGTCTATATTTTCTTCTAGTTTTGAAATTTTTTTCACTTTTTGGCCTTTTTTCCCATGTTTCTTACTATGGATATAATTTTAATTTTTTTTTCCTATGGGGAGAGTTGGTCATTTCTCTAAAGCCATTTGTCAAAATAGTTCGGCCTTTCCTGAATTGATTTCTGATGTGTCAAATTGTCTTATATTTATAGGTTTGTTTCCGGGCGTTTTTTTTCCTGCTTCACTACCTTTTTATCCTTTCCTATTACAACAATACATTTTTAATTAATAATTTAATTTGGTAATATGTAACTTTGTAAATTTAGAAATGTTTAGAAAACTGGTAGGATGACTCTCCCTTCTTTGTCCTTATTTTTCAAATTTGTTTTAGCTGTCCATGCACATTCTGATCCTTTCATGTGAACCTTATAATCAATTTTACTATGTTCCAAAAAAATCCTAAAGGGATTTTTTTCTTGGAATTACATTGAATTTCTAGATTAACTTGGGGACAGCTAATGTCTTTATAATTCAGTCTTCATAAATGTACTAATCTCTTCATTTAATATGGGTCTTTTTTGCCAATCTTTTTTAAAAAACTAAATATTTGACTATTACTCATATTTATTTTATGGACTTAGTGATTGCTAGATCTTTTCCAAGTTATCATTAAATAAGAAATAATTTCACTCTGGTACCTTAACATCCAGTTAATGAGATAAGGTGAAACACAGGAAAAGTCAAATAAGAGTAAAGACTGAAAGATTATAAAAAAGCAATAGGTACGATAAGCCTCAGAGGATTGTCAGGTGACTTGAAGAAACAGTGATTATTTTGAGAACCAGAAGAAGGATCACTTTGAGGAGATCACTTGGAGTCTTCTTTCATCCTCATCTTGGAGAATAAGTAGGATTCAAATAGGCCCAAAGACTTAGGGAAGGAATTTAAATTGGATTGAACTACTTCAATGGTAACCCAAAAGCTTTGAAAAGTACAAAACATTCTTTCTTTTTTTTTTTTTTAAGAAAGTGATAGTATTCTTTTTTTTTTTTTTAAGATTTTATTTATTTATTTGACAGAGAGCGATCACAAGTAGGCAGAGAGAGAGGAAGGGAAGCAGGCTCCCTGTCTAGCAGAGAGCCCGATGTGGGGCTCGATCCCAGGACCCTGGGATCACAACCTGAGCTGAAGGCAGAGGCTTTAACCCACTGAGCCACCCAGGCGCCCCAATACAAAACATTCTAATGGAACAGGTTTTTTTGTTTTGTTTTGTTTTGTTCTTGGAAGTTTTTTTTTAAATCTGTTTGACTATAAAAATGGAAAATAAAGATTAGAGGGTCTTTGAAAGCCAAATTTGGATAATCTTAAATGCCAGGTAAGGAGTTTGAAGTTGAGTATACAGAATGAGGAATGGGAAACCAAGGTTTTTAAATAATCTATATAGCATTATAAAACTGAATATAACTTATTTCCTGTTTTTTCACATCTTTCCTCCCATTAGTCTGTGCTTTGTACTTAGTACATAATAGATTGTCAGTAAACATTTCATGAATGAATGAGTGAATGACTTGGCTATAATGTAGAGAATCTATTTGAAGGGGAAAAATGGAAAACATCGAAAATTCTCAGGAACCTATTCCAATAATCTCATCATGAGTTAGTTGTTAGTGACCTCAATTCACATGACAGTAGGAAAAGAAAAATTTTGCTGAATAAAATGCTTCTAAATAAATAAGTAGATAAAGTTCTTCCTGTATATTGTTCCTGAAAATTGATACAATGAATATTTATTAATATCAACACTATACCTTAGAGTAGCAAGGTGATTTTCTTTTTGACAAACTGTGAAGATACATCTTGTATTTTCTGGTATTTTTGCCATTTTGAAACAAATAAAATGAATAAACCATTATTTGTGAGGCATTATAAGTTAAATGTAACAAAGCACACTAAGTTAGTTAAGATAGTCTGGCCCTGATTTGGGACTGGAAATTGACAGAGCAAGCTGCCAAAAGATAAGGAAGCAAGGACATCTAATAATAATGATATTTAAAATGGATACAGTGCTTCACACTTTCAGCTGAGAAATAAAGCAGTGTTGAAGAAAATTCACTGTGTTGTGTTAACCAAAAATACTAATTTAATACTTATTTCAGAT